TCACTGTACAGGTTGTAATGGTCCCTTCAAGTTGTAATCACTGTACAGGTTGTAATGGTCCCTTCAAGTTGTAATCACTGTACAGGTTGTAATGGTCCCTTCAAGTTGTAATCACTGTACAGGTTGTAATGGTCCCTTCAAGTTGTAATCACTGTACAGGTTGTAATGGTCCCTTCAAGTTGTAATCACTGTACAGGTTGTAATGGTCCCTTCAAGTTGTAATCACTGTACAGGTTGTAATGGTCCCTTCAAGTTGTAATCACTGTACAGGTTGTAATGGTCCCTTCAAGTTGTAATCACTGTACAGGTTGTAATGGTCCCTTCAAGTTGTAATCACTGTACAGGTTGTAATGGTCCCTTCAAGTTGTAATCACAGTACAGGTTGTAATGGTCCCTTAAAGTTGTAATCACTGTACAGGTTGTAATGGTCCCTTCAAGTTGTAATCACAGTACAGGTTGTAATGGTCCCTTCAAGTTGTAATCACAGTACAGGTTGTAATGGTCCCTTCAAGTTGTAATCACAGTACAGGTTGTAATGGTCCCTTCAAGTTGTAATCACAGTACAGGTTGTAATGGTCCCTTCAAGTTGTAATCACAGTACAGGTTGTAATGGTCCCTTCAAGTTGTAATCACAGTACAGGTTGTAATGGTCCCTTCAAGTTGTAATCACAGTACAGGTTGTAATGGTCCCTTCAAGTCTTAATCACAGTACAGGTTGTAATGGTCCCTTCAAGTTGTAATCACAGTACAGGTTGTAATGGTCCCTTCAAGTTGTAATCACAGTACAGGTTGTAATGGTCCCTTCAAGTTGTAATCACAGTACAGGTTGTAATGGTCCCTTCAAGTTGTAATCACTGTACAGGTTGTAATGGTCCCTTCAAGTTGTAATCACTGTACAGGTTGTAATGGTCCCTTCAAGTTGTAATCACTGTACAGGTTGTAATGGTCCCTTCAAGTTGTAATCACTGTACAGGTTGTAATGGTCCCTTCAAGTTGTAATCACTGTACAGGTTGTAATGGTCCCTTCAAGTTGTAATCACTGTACAGGTTGTAATGGTCCCTTCAAGTTGTAATCACTGTACAGGTTGTAATGGTCCCTTCAAGTTGTAATCACTGTACAGGTTGTAATGGTCCCTTCAAGTTGTAATCACAGTACAGGTTGTAATGGTCCCTTCAAGTTGTAATCACTGTACAGGTTGTAATGGTCCCTTCAAGTTGTAATCACTGTACAGGTTGTAATGGTCCCTTCAAGTTGTAATCACTGTACAGGTTGTAATGGTCCCTTCAAGTTGTAATCACTGTACAGGTTGTAATGGTCCCTTCAAGTTGTAATCACTGTACAGGTTGTAATGGTCCCTTCAAGTTGTAATCACTGTACAGGTTGTAATGGTCCCTTCAAGTTGTAATCACTGTACAGGTTGTAATGGTCCCTTCAAGTTGTAATCACTGTACAGGTTGTAATGGTCCCTTCAAGTTGTAATCACTGTACAGGTTGTAATGGTCCCTTCAAGTTGTAATCACTGTACAGGTTGTAATGGTCCCTTCAAGTTGTAATCACTGTACAGGTTGTAATGGTCCCTTCAAGTTGTAATCACTGTACAGGTTGTAATGGTCCCTTCAAGTTGTAATCACTGTACAGGTTGTAATGGTTCCTTCAAGTTGTAATCACTGTACAGGTTGTAATGGTCCCTTCAAGTTGTAATCACAGTACAGGTTGTAATGGTCCCTTCAAGTTGTAATCACAGTACAGGTTGTAATGGTCCCTTCAAGTTGTAATCACAGTACAGGTTGTAATGGTCCCTTCAAGTTGTAATCACAGTACAGGTTGTAATGGTCCCTTCAAGTTGTAATCACAGTACAGGTTGTAATGGTCCCTTCAAGTTGTAATCACAGTACAGGTTGTAATGGTCCCTTCAAGTTGTAATCACAGTACAGGTTGTAATGGTCCCTTCAAGTTGTAATCACAGTACAGGTTGTAATGGTCCCTTCAAGTTGTAATCACAGTACAGGTTGTAATGGTCCCTTCAAGTTGTAATCACAGTACAGGTTGTAATGGTCCCTTCAAGTTGTAATCACAGTACAGGTTGTAATGGTCCCTTCAAGTTGTAATCACAGTACAGGTTGTAATGGTCCCTTCAAGTTGTAATCACAGTACAGGTTGTAATGGTCCCTTCAAGTTGTAATCACAGTACAGGTTGTAATGGTCCCTTCAAGTTGTAATCACTGTACAGGTTGTAATGGTCCCTTCAAGTTGTAATCACAGTACAGGTTGTAATGGTCCCTTCAAGTTGTAATCACAGTACAGGTTGTAATGGTCCCTTCAAGTTGTAATCACAGTACAGGTTGTAATGGTCCCTTCAAGTTGTAATCACTGTACAGGTTGTAATGGTCCCTTCAAGTTGTAATCACTGTACAGGTTGTAATGGTCCCTTCAAGTTGTAATCACTGTACAGGTTGTAATGGTCCCTTCAAGTTGTAATCACTGTACAGGTTGTAATGGTCCCTTCAAGTTGTAATCACTGTACAGGTTGTAATGGTCCCTTCAAGTTGTAATCACTGTACAGGTTGTAATGGTCCCTTCAAGTTGTAATCACTGTACAGGTTGTAATGGTCCCTTCAAGTTGTAATCACTGTACAGGTTGTAATGGTCCCTTCAAGTTGTAATCACTGTACAGGTTGTAATGGTCCCTTCAAGTTGTAATCACTGTACAGGTTGTAATGGTCCCTTCAAGTTGTAATCACTGTACAGGTTGTAATGGTCCCTTCAAGTTGTAATCACTGTACAGGTTGTAATGGTCCCTTCAAGTTGTAATCACTGTACAGGTTGTAATGGTCCCTTCAAGTTGTAATCACAGTACAGGTTGTAATGGTCCCTTCAAGTTGTAATCACTGTACAGGTTGTAATGGTCCCTTCAAGTTGTAATCACTGTACAGGTTGTAATGGTCCCTTCAAGTTGTAATCACTGTACAGGTTGTAATGGTCCCTTCAAGTTGTAATCACTGTACAGGTTGTAATGGTCCCTTCAAGTTGTAATCACTGTACAGGTTGTAATGGTCCCTTCAAGTTGTAATCACTGTACAGGTTGTAATGGTCCCTTCAAGTTGTAATCACAGTACAGGTTGTAATGGTCCCTTCAAGTTGTAATCACAGTACAGGTTGTAATGGTCCCTTCAAGTTGTAATCACTGTACAGGTTGTAATGGTCCCTTCAAGTTGTAATCACTGTACAGGTTGTAATGGTCCCTTCAAGTTGTAATCACAGTACAGGTTGTAATGGTCCCTTCAAGTTGTAATCACAGTACAGGTTGTAATGGTCCCTTCAAGTTGTAATCACAGTACAGGTTGTAATGGTCCCTTCAAGTTGTAATCACTGTACAGGTTGTAATGGTCCCTTCAAGTTGTAATCACAGATCAGCCCATCATCTTCTTTATACACCTGTACTTCCCTCCCTAGCCTCTCCTTACAAACACGCACACCCACTTTCTCATTTCTACTCTGGCAATTTGCACGCACTGCTGTTCTCAGCCACACCACCGTGCCTCTCCTCATCCTCCTCCTCTCACCAGTCTCACTGTGTCTCCCTGTGTCGTCTCGTTTCCCTCTCCCAGGTGCCCCCAGACCAACAGTCTCTGGCTCAAATACTTGGCAGAGATGCTGCAGACGGGCAAGAAGATTGTGAGTTGTGTGCAATTGGTTGACAGAGTGGGCATGGGGTAGTGATGTGCAAAAATAGGAGTGTGTGGTCCACGTTAACGAGATGTATACTTTCCAAATCCCAGTGCCCCTCCTTCATCCCTCGTCTTAGCCTCACAAGTCCGTATCCGTATCCTGTCTTCTACCTCTCATTTCAGCGTTTCAAGGCGAGTGAGAAGAGGGCCATCATCCAGTTCAAGGAGCGCATGGCTGCCTGCCCTTCGGCTCAAGTTGCACTTAATGATGAGCTGTTCAACGACCTTTGGCGCTCCTAGAGTCATGGGGAAGAACCAAAATATACGGGGTGGTTCGACGGTTGGAAGAAACGTGTATGATTTGGGCAACAAGTATGCACTTAGAAGTTCAGAGTTTAAAAGGGAAGCTTTGTGTTTAGCCTAGTCTTTTGCTAGATTTAATTCGTTTGAATGATGTAAGCAGGATCGAAGTAAGTGTAAGTGTAACTTCTCAACCTCGATATGCCCCCTTCAGCTGGCTTCATCTGCTTTGCTAAATCTCTTGATTGCGAAATGCTGGGTTGCGGCTCGCGAGGTGAACGACAGAATCAGCAAACATCACAACAGTGTGCGACGCTGTATGAAGGGGCCTAATTGGCATGTGTGCGAAGTGTCAAACTCATCCGTACGTAACAGCTCAACTTCAGCAATTCGTCCAAGTCAGCTGTTTTGTCTGTTTTCGGTTGCGGCTCGACCTCATTTCGGCCAATCCGCGGCTCGCAGAAACCGCACGTCAATTTGATAATCCGCGGTTCGTTCTTGCGCCCGACAATTGAAAGCTCAAATTCTGCGCTTCATCCCGCCAGTTTCTCATCATCTTCATCATCTCGTCTGACACGCCAGAGCACGACAGGGCCTCTGCTTTCGTCTGCCCCACTCGCACCCGCACCGACACCGCCCCAGGGGGCCCCCCTCCGTTGCCCGCACGAACAAAATGAAGATTTCAGGATTCAGTTGTGGACTTGGCCTGTTTCTTTCCCTGTTTCTGTGCGTTACTAGAGCGCGAGCTCAAACCGACAGCATCGCCAATAACAGCGATTTCAACCAGAATGAATCCGTGATCAATCCCGGCCAAGACCCTGGCTTCGTTGCAAACCCGAATCTCACCGTCAACCCCGACGTTGGAGATCCTGCTGTGAATTCCCCTAACGGCGACGCCACTAATACCAGCCCTGGCGACGGTGTCAATGATTCGTTGACGGAACCCTCGCAGACGTCCCCAGACGAGCCCCAGCCGGCAGACGGTAACGGAGATTCTAACGGGACGCCGGGGTCTGACGGAAACGGAGCTCATGACGGAACGTCGACGAACTCCGTCCGTCAGAGGCCCGGCCCCAACAGCAGGTGCCGCGGGTGCCCTCTCTTCCCTTGCCAAGCCGGGTCGCACCGTAACGGCCGATTCGACACGTCGATCGATCCTAGGTACTCCGTCGTTCTCGCCGGAGAGAACTCCTCCAACGACGGCCGCAGCGATGACAGCAACACCATGGAGTGTTGGCGCGAGTGCAAGAACCGCAACCAGAGGCGTGGCCTGGCGCGCGCAGCAAGCCCCATAGTCTACTGGCAGTACGAGCCCTTCACCGATGCCAGCACTGGAGGTACGCGGACGCGGTGACTCTGAGTCGCTAAAAAATGGCCCTTGATTTTTGAGACGCCTCAAAAGTCGAGCCATGTACTTATTCGTGCGTTGGTCCCTCGTCGTTTCTTCCTGCTTCTCTCCCCAACAGGACTCTGCAGCTGCTTCGGCGCCGCTGCGTGCAAGGGCCGCCGTTTCGTGGACCCGTCAGAAGACGACAGCAACCTGCCGTCCGTCAACTTTGTCGGCAAAATCTGCCCGGCGAACGGAACCGGCGACCCGCACTTCGTCGGCGCTGACGGGTCGCGGTTTGATTTCAGCGGGCGCCCCAGCGAAAACTACGCCCTGATCTCCGACGTACACGTGGCAGTAAACGCGCACTTTGGGGGGCGGTGGGGCGAATGGGAAGGGCGCTTTAAGGCGCTGACGTGGATGCGAAAGATCTCGATTCTGTGGGGTCACCACTCGATCGTTTTCGAGGCTCGCGAAGGGTGGGAGTCTGGTTACCGAAACGGTTACCTCCAACGACTGTCGGTTGATTCGGAAGACGTGAAACTTGGCCGGCCCGGCTCGCACCTGGATGTTGTTTCGTTTTTCGACGGGCAGGTTGAGCTGCGATGGGCAGCGGCGAAAAAATCCGTGAAAGGCGAGCTGGTGGACGAGTACGACGTTCGCATAGGCGACGTGCTGTCGCTCAGACTGACGCTGCGACCCGAGATGGCAGCGCTTCGCACGGACGACGACGGGGTGGTGCATTTCACGGTGGACGTGCTGAGCGCGAAGCTGTCGCCCAACGTGCACGGCGTACTGGGTCAGACGTTCCGCCCTGACTTCATCGGACGCCTGTAAGTCGCTTTTTCTGCGTCCCTCTCTTTCTCCCCCCTTTCTTCTCTCCCCACTCCCCCCCTCCTCTCCCCCATTTATTCTCTATCCCCTCCCCATTCCCCTTTCTCTTCCCGCCTCACCACTCACTCTCTCTAGACTCTCTCCTCCTCCCCCCGACCCGTACAAGCAAACTCCATCGCTGGATACCTCCATCCTCCCAGACTTTCCTCTTTCTGATTGATGCCCTACAGCCGCCTTCTCAGTCCCTCCGCTCCCTTCCACCACCCACTCCTCTCCCTTCCTCTCCCCGTTACTCTGAATTCTCGTCGTCCCCATGACCACCCACCACATCTTCCCATTTGCTCTCTTTCCCCCCTTCGCTTGCTACAACACCCACTCAACCTACCCTTCCATGTTCCTCTCCATCTCCTTTTTTTTTCACACAGTGAGCGGCAGAAGCTAGTGTGGAGCAACCTTTTCAAGACCCAAGTGGTTCCTGGGGACAACGCGGAGGGGTTCATCGACGGCACTGTAGACGACTACAGGTGTACCGACCTCGCCCATTCGGACTGCGCCTTTTGTCGCTTTGTGCGCGCGGAAACACTGGACGATGAAACCGCCTCCGCTATAGAGCTGGCTGCAGGCGTTTCATCCTCGTATAGTGACAACAGCCGCACTTACCCACGCAAGGCGCTAGTTGGAGCTTTTTAAACCATGCGAGAAACGCTCACAGTTTGCCTGATCTGTGTAAATAGCCAGTGCACATTGTGACTGTGCTGTGCTGGGCCCTGTGTGATCTGGCACTCCTGTCTCCAGCACTTTTCCCTTCCAGCCTCGCCCTCCCAGAAAGCCTGCGATTAGCAGTGAAACCTGGCTGTCTGGCATGTTTCTGGGCACCAGTTAGGAACCTGCATTACCACCGTCAGTTAGCGTCCCTTGCAGTGGCATGTGGCTGTGTGGTGTGGTGTGGTGTGGTGTGGTGGAGCCTGGAGAAGCCTGGACAAACAATCAGCAATGAAAACCATATGTTCTGTTGTGGAGTTGCAACTTCATGTTGCTCAGCATCTTGGTGTTTTGTTAGATAACAGGTAATGCACTTGAAAAAGCAGTTAAAGAAACTAAATGTACATGCTTGATGTTGAAACACAAACAGATCTTAAGTACTGTACATGTACAGTGAACAGAGGTCGTATTCTCCACATGCGAGCAGTCCCCGTTTTCACTGAAACAGTTGTGATGTGACCTGCGACTGAGCCACACCATGAACAGTTGCCATCATCATATCACACATCTGGATGCTTAAAGCTGCGGTCTACATACTACGAGCGGGAGGCCTGAGTTTATCACTTGAAAACAGGGTGACCCGTTCTTGGACTCGGCCCCTTTTCATGCAAAGCTAACGGTTGAGGGGGGTGGAGAGAGGGGGTTGGGGTTCTTTCCGCCCGAAACCGAACTCCCCAGGTTGTTTCCCGCCCTTCTGCAGACCCTTCCCCCAAACCACGCGTCAGCACGAAGTTGGGCTGAATTCGTGTTTCCTGTCTGAGTTCGTCGCTGCGGTGTTTCTGAAACATGCTGACTTCGTTCTCCAATCAGGCCGCACGAAAGGGTGGGCATAAAAAATACCCCCAAAAAACACCACTTAGAATGTAGACCGCAGCTTTAAGACTGTACTCTTTGAACTCATCTCCGCCCAGCATTATAGCGCATGCACATCTTGATTTTACGCATGCCATTGCAGGCTCATCTGCTGGCTGAGGCACGCATGTGCCTGCATCCTGGTTTGACAGCAGTGGAAGGCAGCAGCAGACGGCACTCCGTGTGCGGATCTTATTATGGCTTGACATAGCACCATCCCGTGCTGATGTGTCCTCCTGACGTGACCTCATATCTTGGCTTGCCCTGTGCCACTACTCTGCTGAGGTACCTCAAAGGCCCTGTGCTGCTGAACACTCCACCATCCTGTGCTCACACGTCCATCTGACAGGCGAAGGATCAAACACACCTCTACTGTTCACCAGTGTCCCTCTCCTGCTCCCATCGACTCTAACAGCGCGCAGCTCCGGTGCATAAGAGGAACTTGAATCGTTAGATGCCTGGCCCCTGTAGTTTCCTGGAAAGGTGCAGCTGCGAGTGCTCATGCTGATGCTTCTTCCACTTGCAGCCACATAGGAAGATTCTTTTGCGATTCCATGGCTGCTGCTGCTGCCTTCGGTGTTCTGCTTGGAACAGGAGTCATCCGAGTGTCTCCGCACCTGCTGGTATGTCTTTTCGGCGCTGCTGCTGGTGTGACTCCACTCACAAGTCATCTTGCTGCTGCCTTCGGTGTTCTGCTTGGAACAGGAGTCATCCGAGTGTCTCCGCACCTGCTGGTATGGGCAGCAGTTGCTCCGTCCCCAATCATCATCACCAACAGCCCTCTGCCCCTTACGCCTGTCACCGGACAAAGCAACACCATGCACAGGCAAGCGAGCAGGAGCCCTTGCAGCAGCATCACGGATTGAGCGCAGAGGGGACAGCGAAGATGGTAACCCTGTCTCTCCCCTGCCATGCACCCATGGGTGGAGTGCAGGGGAGCAAGGGAGCACTGGGTGGAGGGCACGGGAGCCAGCAGCAGAGCAGCTGCGGCTGAGGTCACGTGAATCTTGAAGAGAGGTCGTCTTGGTTGTGACGGACGTGGATTCAGTTCCATTGCTGGCTGAGCGTTGGCTGGTCTGGCCTTGAGGGAAGGAGCAAGGCAGGGAGGCCGACGATGGGTACGGCAAATCACCGCCAGCAGAACGGCCACTGATCCGCCCAGGAGGGAAGGAGCAAGGCAGGGAGGTCGATGATGGGTACGGGGAATCACTGCCAGCTGAGCGGTGACTTCTCCATTCACTTATCCGTTCACGGGGAAAGGAGCAGGGCGTGCCATGCCGTGTCCCCAGCACCAGCCGCCTCTGCCTCAGCCACAGCACTTCCTCCATGTCTTTAAACGGCTCCTCCTCCTCATCCTCTTCCTCGTCCGAATCAGCCTCGCAGCTTCTGTTCAGCCCAACGACATAATGCTTCGCCCTTGATGTCAACAGATTGACCTCCTGGGTTCTGGTGAACTCAACCAACTTGAAGTTGCTGGCTTCCAGGGGATTCGACTGTAAGTGAGTCACTTTCAGGGAAAGAGCACTGGCCTCGTGGCCTCTCAATGTACCGTTGAGCCCAACCAATCGCTCGGCTGCTGCCTTACTGGTAGCTTCAGTGGCAGATGCGCTTGTTGAGTTAGCATTAGCCCTCTGCTCCAATGCACTCACACGGCGCTGCTGGATCGTAGCCCAAGCTTTCATCTTTAACGTATACAAGAAATTCCGAAACCCAAACACCCTGCTTGCGACAGGCACTGCCTGAGAAGGGTCTTTTCCGTCAGGGAAAAGTAACTCGCGTCGTCCACTGTAAGAACCAGTGTTGGAGCGAAAGCAGTCTGAGTCTTGGCGGTCTCTAACAGGAATCGCTTTGCACGGAGCGCGAGGCCGTTCAACGAGGGTTCTTTATCACAAAAGGATGTTCGCTCAACAAGATGTGCTGTGCTGCTCAGACTCGGAAACGACTCTCCCTTTATATACAAACCACAACCAGGGAAAAAAAAAAAAAAAAAAAAAAAAAACGAATGAAAGTGGAGGCCGCACGGCGCGTCAGCGGCGGCGGAACTGTGCAGCCATGGTACTACTACTGCTGCGGCCTTCACCGCCGGGCAAAAGGAAGGGGGTGCACTCACCGAGAGAACCCCCCACGGGCGGTTCTTGAAGAGGCTCGCGAGGCGAAGGATCGACGATCTTTGACACCGGACACCGGACCCCGATACTGACTGTCGAAATCGGATTTTCCCCGCATCGGATGCTGGCAGCGCAGCACAGTGGCCCGGCCGCCGGCGAAATCGAGATTGTTTTTCAAGTTGAGGGGAAACGGCATGGACGAAGGCCGCGCCTCAGCCTCCTCGACCCGACGTGGCAAATGCTGATGGGACCTGCTGAAGTGAACCGACGAGAGGTGAGGACCCGCGAATCCGATTTGGGAGGAGGGTTGCAAATTCGACGACTGCTATCGGCGGTAATAGCTTGGATGCTCCAACGGCTAACCTAAGCGACGAAACAACACAAACCTACACAGTGGCAAGCAGTCGCGAATAAAAGTGTGTCCTTGGAGCAGCGTGATTGGGGCAAGTCGGTGGAATGCTTGGGCATTACTCTACACGTAATCCGAAAGTCATGCCTGTCGCTAGTCTGGAGTGGGGTTGAGAGGGGTGAAGGGGGTTCCGCATCGTTTCCACGACCACGGGTTTCTGTCTCTGTTGCTCGGAGGAGGAGGTCAAACGTGCCAGTTGCGTGTGGGCGGATGGGAAAGAAAGCTATAAGGATTTTTCCCTAATTCCTTACTGAGTCACACTGTACGCGTACAGACCCCAACTTTCGGAGTTCAGGCTTGGTCCGACAACCTCGCCCTCCGAACCACCATCGCGTCGCCTTCGGGTTTCCCAACCCCAAACCTGCACCCAGCCACTCGCGGTCCCGCGACCTCGGCCTAGCTAGCAGTTGCTATATTAGTGCTAGGCTTCATTATTTGCTCAGTACTTGTTATCATTTCCGCGTTATTGAATCATGCGCACTCTCTTCATTACAACTCATAACACTTGGTATCAGAGCTACTTTCCTAGGTTACCCTCGTGTTTCCGGGGTAGTTTATGGAAGGGGAGCGATAGACTTAGTGGGCTGCAAAGCGGTCGGCCTGTGAAATAGATACGATTATTTCACTCCGACTACGATAGCGTTTGCGCCCTCACCAAAGTCATAAAAATCGCTAACCACCCCCTGCCCGTCCGACGAAGCCTGCGAAATATGGAGCAGGCGGAGTTGAACGAGTTTATGCAACAGTTTCGGGCGATGCAGACCAACATGCAGACGGTGTCTGTGGAGGTCGAGCGCATGAGGAAGGAAAACGCCGAACTACACCAGGCGCGTGGTGAAGCGCGCCAGGAGTCGCCCATCGTGGATGAAGCAAGTAGTAGCTCCACGCCGAACGAGGCCGTCTTCAGTGAGCTCGAGAGCTCCATGGATGCTGCAGAAGAAGGGCGGGCGCAACGGCAACATTCGCAGCAACAACAGTCGCGAGCAGTGCCGACACATGCACCAGCGACAGCAGCGGTGACGACATCAGCAGCAGCAACAGTCCCAACGGCAGTGGCAGCTTCAACAACTGTCAAGATCAAGCCGACGAACCCGCCCCCATTCAACCCAAGTGACAAGTTTGTCACTGTTTCTGCATGGTTGTTTGGTGCGGATGTGTTCTTTAATGCTGCGATAATAAACGATGATGCCACCCGCATTAATTTTGCAGTTTCACTGTTATGAGGACATGCGTTGGAGTGGTGGCGACGCACGCTGCAAACCGAGGGGACTTCGGCAAGGACAACACGTGCGAACGACGGGACCTCGACACCTGTCACGCAACGAGCAGCTTTGATTTTCGGAACGGCCACGATACGCACATGGAAGGAGTGGGGCGCCGCCTTGCGAGCCAGATTCGAGCACATATCCGCCTCGGACTCTGCCCGCATGAAGCTGCGTGCCTGGAAGCAGCTGACTTCGGTCCAAGACTACACCAGCACGTTCTGCAACTTGGCTGACCAAGTGGACGATATGAGCGACGCGGAGCGGATGGATCGCTACGTGGCGGGCCTGAAGTAC